GTGAGAGGGTAAGAGGGTGAGAAGAGCGGGGGAGAGAGAGAGGTATAGATGGAGATACGTTTATTGGTAAGCGAGTCTGGCATTCGGTCCGAGAATGCGCTACGGGTATACTGGAATCCGGACTGTCTCGTGTTGAGGGCATTATAGTCGGGTTGTAGGTTATTAGGTGCGCCGGCTAATAGGTACCGATATAGCGTATTAATGGCAGGTAACCGGACGGTGATAATGGGTATCAAAGGACAGGGTATCGCAGAGCGATGCGGCCCGATGGGACGCGAACCCGATGGCTTTTACTTGCCGCGTTTTATGGAAAAATATGGAATAATGCCATTAACCTGACGCAATCCGGATCCACGCGTCCCTAATGCGTGTTTGCGTTTTTCGGACGGAGCGCCGAGAACTTCCATCAGCACGGTTGAACGTAAATCCATGAAAAACGTGTAACATCGTCGAGTAAAATTTAAAGCTTACTATAGACAAGTAAAGTGCCATGAGAGAGAGAAAGGTTGCAAATCTACTAACCATCCTGCACCAATCAGACTGCAATGTCGAACGTTCGAATATGCACTGTGCGGAAAAGAAGAATGTGCGAGCTCGTACACCGCGATTTTTCCTGACTCGCTAGTTTTGTGAAGAGAAAGAGAGAGAGATAAAAAGAGAGAGAGAGAAAGCGCGATAGGAATGCGTCGCATCCCGTAAGATCGTACATAACTCCCCTTTGTCGCGCCGTACCGAACTTAACGTACGAGTGCGCTCCTGACGAGAAGAGAACTAGCGAAAGAGAACCGGACGAAACAAAAGGACATAGCGGTGGCGGGCGGACGGGGGTGAGCGCAGGGGCAGAAAATGATCGGGAGCAACGAAAACGGAAACAAAAGCGACGCGGGGAGATACGGCAGTATGGCGACGCTTCCGGTTCGCTCACCGCACACAATGCACTCTCTCGTGTTAACTTCTGTGCCCCGTTCTCTCTTCTCGCCGCACGCCACCTTCCCCACCATCCTTGCATCTCTCGCGCATCGTATCTCTCACCTATCCTCTCGGCGAAAGGTATCCATCCCCGCGAAAATTCCGCGACTCTGATATGCGACTCCAACGTGTTACGTGAGTCGCTGTTAAGAGTCGAAAAGCCGAAGTCGCGCTTCTTGTTACCTTCACGCAACAAACGAGCGATACGTTAAGTATCCTGAATTCTCATTAATGCACTTCTAATGGATAATTTTGATCTTGTTATTTTTCTCAAGTGACAAGTAATAAGTTACCTTATTATTTTATCTCGTGCAAAATAAAGAATTGAGATACATAATCATGTCTGTCGCGTAATTGTAATCTTAGAAACGTCCAAGATAATCGACGCTGACGATTTCGGTATTAACAAGTCTCTATCGACATTGACCGACGTCGTATGAACCTTTCAGAAAATCCAAGCTACGGCATTATATGACATTTGACGCGAGTCTCTATAGTGTCTTTGACACGGCAGGCACTAGACGATATTAAACCGGAGCTTTTGCTGGGCACTGGCAAGGAAACGGAAGCCTAACATGCAGAGAGATGTTTTAAGAAATTAGTTCTCGTTGTTATGAATCGCAGAATGACGCGATCTTACAGCTTCGTTTGACTTTCTCGTCGAGAGTGGCGTTATTAATTACTTCGTATCGTTAGAGCCGAGACCCTACCGCGCGATAAAATAATATTGTGTTAACCCTTTACCGCGCGAATAAATTTGTTCTAAGTTTAATTTTAATTATCTAATAAAATAATCTAATAAAATCGAAGGATATGACCATCCATTATTCAAACTAAATCCATTATTTAGATAGAACAATACCGATGGCAATACTCACGCATTACTTTATCCAGATTTTCCAAACAATTCTGACACAGGATGAGAAAATGGCAGGAAGTCCGTGAGCACATCTAAAAATGGAAAAAATAAGAATTACCTGATGCTAATTTTTCACTACACATCATTCGCCGCGCCGCATGGAAGCATTGCTTAATGTACAAACTCAAGGACAAACTTAAGTATAATGACATTAAAATGAATGAGGTAAATTTCTAGCCAATACATTTGCATTATCTCTGGAAGATCGTTTTGCAGATAATATGTGAATAGTTTAGTTTCTATTTCACCAAAGAAGTTACAATGACAATGCTTTAGTCAAATGCTAATTTTTCACTACACAGACGCCGCAACCTTTATGGAAGCTTTGCCTAACAAACTCAAAGACAAACTTAAGTATAGTGACATTAAAATGAAAGAGGTAAAATTCTAGCCAATACATTTGCATTATCTCTGGAAGATCGTTTTGCAGACAATATTGAATAGTTTAGTTTCGATTTCACCAAAGAAGTTACAATAACAATACTTTAGTCAAAGTGACAATGCAAATTCAAAAGCAGAAAAAAAGATAAACGATTTGGTTTTCCCAGAACAATCGTGTAAAGTGCGTAAAATAAACATTTTCACATACGTTCGCAAACGCAACGCGTATAAAACACGCTGTTCATTTATTATCTCTCGCAAAATATATCCATTTTAATGGACTTCAAATTAGCGCGCTTGCATTATACGCGTTGTCCTCAATGTACTGCGCGTTTTAAAATGACTTCATGTCCAAAGAGCTGCTCATTAGACACTCAAACCAAAGTTTGGCCGATACTAATTGTAAGACTGAATACTAGAGATTAAAGCATTGAAACATTAAGTATTAAGTTTAATAAAATAAATATTTAATGCTATAAAAAAATACTTTTCATTGTTGTTAATAAATATAGATATTGTTTTATCAAAGCTGAAATAAAATATTTTCTACGCATTTTCTGTCGCCTAATTTGCCAACTTCTTGCTACATTTCTGTTTTCGCGTGTCCATAATAACAAAATCAAAATTCGTTGAAATTATCTGTTTTGAAATCTAATTTATATCGTCGGCATCGAGACTCGATCAGACACTTATTGATAATATAACTGATCAGAAATAAGGACACTATCGCTACGCTTAAATAAATCACGATATAGAAAATAAATCCTTCTAGGAATAGGAACCGAAAAGAATAATGATTGTTGTCATAAATCTCGTGTAGTACATAATCAGCACTTATTGACTTAAAGTATTCATCTGTGTTCGAGATGATAGAAATTTCACTTTTATAATTTGTTCATTTAAATTAATCCAGAAAAGAGTAAAATTAACTTAAAAAAGATTAAAAGTAAGCATTATTTTATGTAAAAGTAGGTCAAAAGAGCAACTGAAAGACCTCTCTCTGTAATAAATCTTCCGTAGCTACCCCTCAGTGTTCCGTACGTTATCCAATGTTAACGGCATTACCCCCATTACCGGTGTTGCACGGACCCAATTGTACCCTTCACTTGCCTCCTTTTTGCCTTCACAAGAAACTTTAATCGATATATAATTTTAGAGCAGGAACGTCTCTCTTAATAATAACCTTTTGCTGGAATTTATATGTATGTAATTTGTCTATGTATACATTTCTTCAATGTATCCATTGATCGTGATCGAGTAGTCAAGGAAAGATAGATTGTTTATAAAAATTTATACTTATTTTATAAATTTCAAATGTTATTCCCCATTGTATGTCGTTAATCTGCACTTTCAATCACAAATAAAAAATCTTAATATACTAATTCTCAATTTCTGGGCTACAATTTGGGATCAATTTTTCCTCAACAAAACGAGACGTTAAATATATGCAATTATAAATCATATTCGATGTTTAATACATAAGATTTTCAAATAAAGAAATCTTAATGCAAGTTCAAAAAATTGTTAACTTTATAGAATAATCTAATTATTTTATACAAATTATATATTATAAATATAATATATAAAATAAATATAATTATATATATCTATATGTATAATTTATATTATACATTATTTGTTAAAATAACTTTCGTAAAATAATTTATCGTAATTTTATAGAATTTACTTTAAAATTATTTTATTGCAAACTATAGATCTTTATAAAAATTCATTGCTATTTAAAGTAGATACGATAATATATGAAATAATATATAATTAACAATGAAATTATTAGGATGCTAAATATTTATATTTCTTACATATAATGTAAGAACACATTTAATATACTCTCGTATACTAACAATAAAATATAAGCAATGAGAGATCAATCTCCCTTTATTTTTCACAAAATCTAAAAGAAATGGAAATTTTTAAAAATAAGTTAATGATGAAACAGAAAAATGTTGCCCATAATATAATCCCACTGCCAAAAATATAATCTAGGACATTTCTTATATTTTGTTTAAATTATATATACATTGCATCATATTTGGAAAATACCCTCCATATTTAGAAAATTATAAATAAATCGTAGTGCGCGCGAAATGTCATTCGGTTCACCGCTTGGACAAGACGCATTAGCCTTGGAGGTCAAGAAACGCGTGCAGCTGCCGGACCAGATCACTCGTGCGTGGTGGGGTAGTTTGAACACGTGCGCGTGAGAATTTACGTCGTCACGTAAGCGTGGCGTAGGTGGCTCGGTTGGTGGAAAGGTAGTGACGAGGCCAGCATGACGAGGAGAACAGAACGTGAAGGCAGAGAGACCGAGAAAGGAAGTAGGATAGACAGAGATGATAGAGAGACCGAGTGAGGAGCAAGAGAAAGGAAGAGAGATGGAGAGATGGAGAGAGAGAGAGAGAGAGAGAGAGAGAGAGAGAGAGAGAGGAGAGAGAGAAAGAGAGAGGTCGAGTGGATACGTTAAGGAAGAGCGGAGGCGCCAAGCCACCCTTCGCGCGAGCCAGGCAGCAGGCAGGCAGCCCCTTTCGCAAAGCACCCCCTAAGCCTGGTTAGGGGCGAAGGCGGCGAGCCGCGGAGGCCACAACACGACCGCCGTCCTCATTGGTCGACGCGCTTGCTCTGGGTGGGGCTCCGGAAAAATTGGAGGGGAGAAAAATCCCCCCTAAATAGCTGCGGCTACGGCTGCGAAAAACTAGAATCCGCTCAGCCGGCATCGAGTGCGCGTCGGATTGCTTCAACATTTTACCAGTTCGCGGTACAAAGGTGCAATTGAAACAGAAATTCAAATCAGGAGCACACAGTGGAGTTTCTTCGCTGAGAGATAGGGGCAAAAAGAAGTAACATGTGTCTACTATTATTTGTACGAGTGTGATAGTGAATATAACGAAAAGAACAGTGATCGATCGTGTTCACCAAAACAGTGGTTGCGCGCAGGAGTTTGAATTGAGTTGAAAAATAATCGAACTTTTCCCTATTGGATTTTCCGCTGGAATTAAAAGAATGCATTTACGGGATCCCTTGGGGGTGGACACCCTTAGAACACTCCACGATTCCCTTAGAAGATGTCATGGCGATTTGGTAACGACAGGAAGTCCCACCATCATGTGCAGTTCATTACCATCTCATTGGAGATCGAACAAGTCTCTTCCGGTAGCATTCAAGGTCATCGCTCTCGACGATGTCATGGATGGCACGCAAGTTACCATCAAGGCTGGCAATGACGAAAACTGTTGCGGCGAATTGAGGAATTGCACGGCGGTCATGAAGAATCAGGTCGCCAAGTTCAACGATCTCAGATTCGTCGGTCGTAGTGGAAGAGGTGAGCTAAGAATCTGCATTTATATGTACGAATGTACGAGCTCCTCCAAGTATCCACAAAACTTTAAGAAACAGACTTCACTTTCGTTTACAGGAAAATCATTTACTCTAACGATCCAGATCAACACGATGCCGTACCAAGTAGCCACGTACGCCAAAGCTATCAAGGTTACAGTAGACGGACCACGCGAACCGAGATCTAAGTCGAGTAAGTCGATATACAAATACAAATAATAACATATATTTGACTTTGTCGTAATGGTAATTATTATAGTGGCTTGCGACTGTTATTCTCTTCGAAAAATAAGGTCAAATACAAAAGTATTTCGCGCGAGAGATTGGCATTTAATAATAATACGTAATATTCCAGAATTCAAGTTTATAATAAAGCAATTTAGAGATTGATTTAGGAAGTTTCGGAGTTGGTGTAAAAGTGGGTAGAGTACGTAGATTCAAGACAAATTTTAAATTCCATTCTTTGCGTAAATTAACGTCGCGCGAAAAAATACAGTAATCACGAAACTCAGTCCGACAATCCGATGAGGGGGAGGAGGGGGGCTTGGATACGACATTGTTAGAAGAGGGGTGGTATTCAACCGACGGTCGACGCGACGGGTCCGAAAGTCGTCGGAAGCTCCGTGACCACCGCGGAATCCGCAAACGGGCGTCGGAGCCTCGCGGGCGTTTAATAATCCGGCGTATATCTGGTGGACCTCAAACCGCGAGGTGGTGGCGGTGCCGCTGCCGCTGAACGGTGCCGAGCTCTCGACACCGAGCGTCGGCTCGCACGTGCACGAGCGAGCGCGCGCACATGCACGCCGCGCAAGAGCACATCAGCACATGCAGCATACACACGCACACGCAGCCGACGTACACGGACACAGCGAGATCTGGCATCGTGTCAAGCCGCGAGAACGAGGTCTTCGTCGGCGGTACGCTCTTTAGCTGCCGGCTGCCGCGTTTATTTTCCCCGAAACGCCGCCGCGCCGCCGGTTGGTCGTCGTGGCCCACTAAGTCAAACTGTTTATTGGTCGGCAGTCGGCACCCGGGGAAAGAAGTCAGGAGAGACGCGGAAGACGGTAACCAGCGGCAGCGAAGGCGACGGGGACGGGGAAAGATAGCCGCCTGCAAAAGAAGCCGCGTTTATGCGTTTGTTTATCGCACCGCATATGGCGGTAGCATGTGCCGCGCCACGAAAACTCGCGCCACGTCGTAATAACGGATTTTATGCCACGCTCGTATAAACAGAGATACACTAGCTGCTCCTCCAGATCGCCCGGGGATGCGCCGTTAATCTTCGCTTTTATAGATCTTGGGTGGCCGAGTTCCTTTTTTCGCGGCGTTTGTCAGTTCGTTAGTCGTGTCTCTCACGAATATTTCGTTCTTTGAGTAAAATTTTTTGTAACGGCTTTATATGTCTCTTAACTTATCGCAAATTTAAGAACGCAACGCACAACCGCAATATAGACTGCGAGAGAATCTGGTGGATCGTAAAACTTTAAACGTTAAACGTTAGTCGAACGCGTAGACTGAAAGAAACGATGAAATCTATTTTCAACGCTCGTAGCTGGTCGTTAGCGTATGTATATATAATCAAGCATCCCCGTCATTTATTTTACAGATTATCAGTATAGCGCCGGTTTTCATGGACTTGGCTTATTCAATCCCTGGCTGGATCCCGCGTACTTTGGATCCTGTTATTTGCCGCATCCTGCTTTAGTTAAAGGTAATCAAGCATCTCCGATGTATTTTACGGATTATCAGTATAGCCCCGATTTTCATGGACTTGGTGACTTATTCAATCCCTGGCTGGATCCCGCGCGTACTTTGGATCCTGGCATCCCGTTATTTACCGCATTCAGAAAAGAAAGGAAAAAAAATTGATTGAGCGGGAAAAATATTTCACACTTTTTTATGTATCGTGAACGTGAAAAAAGTCTTAAAAGAGAATCCGCGTTATCGATTTCGTCGAGTTCGCGACGCCTGCCGATGATTCATACTCCGTGAGCTGGACCGAGGGGTGAGTCTGAGCTCTCTTTTCCCACAGCGGACCCCTCTACGGTTCCCTCGCCCCGCTTTCCCGTCCCGTAGCCACGTACATCCCTTTCGTCGTTGAAACAACAATGTGACTTACTACTACGTTCGCCCCCGCGAACGAACGGTCGAGATTAACCGATTCTTTCTTCCTCAGGAGCGGTACCATCACCCCCCGATTTATTCAATTCGGCCTTCTCACCAATTTTGACGTATCCGTTTGAATACGTCAATAATTATCCCGATTACGCGGCATTGACGACAACCAATGTGTCGACGACGAACGCGATGACATCGGTTCTGACGCTCGCGCCGAGTCCGTCCAGAACGCCGCCCAGCTCTAGCGAATCGGGTAGTGAGTCCGCAACCGAAGAGGTTCGAAGTGCCTTCGTGCCTCTTCGACACAACACCTTACCACCGAGCACATCCTCGTCGTCGTCGCCAGATAGAAACGCCAAAAAATCAACCGAGGGCACGAGAAACGAATTGAAAGCGCCCACCGCGCTTATTTCCCAGAGATTATCACCCTCACAGAGGAGTCCGTCTCCGTCGACGAAACTCTCGCCGCCGTCTGCGAAAGTATGGAGGCCGTATTCAAAATCGTAGATCCAAGTAACAAGAACAAGATCCCGAATATCTTGGGCGAAGGCTAGTGAAAACGTATCGCCGTGATGGTAGACGAAAAAATTAATGATTAATTTTACGAATGAATAGAGTTTACAAACTTGATAAGTTTTATGAATAAATATAAAATTATATCAAACACGCGATAAATTTCAAAAATTTCAAAAATTTTATACATTTATAAAATTAATCATCAATTTTTTGAATAACTCAGCTTTCAGATATTCCGAGACGCATCGAAGACGTTTTATCTACCATTGCGGACACATGTTTCAAGTTTTACAAATTCATTTGATGAATTTTATAAATTTTATTAAATCAAAATTATAAAATTCCCGATGAATTTTATAAATTTGAACATATGTATATATGGAAACGAATTGTATATGTACTGTGTATATAGTTCGTGGACAATAAAATAGTTACAGAGAGATAAAGATTTATTTACATTTTGTGTGTTCATGGAAGTACACATATAAGTGAATGAGTGAAGAAGGGAGGGAGAGCGAGAGCGAGAGAGAGAGACAGAGAGAGAGAGAGAGAGAGACCAAAACACAGAGATATTGATATTATTTATAAGCCAGAGTTTTAATGTAAATAGATGGTAGAAATGCAACGAGAATGAATAAAATCGGAATCCGCATAAGAACATTTAAACAATCTGTCGTATTTAATCACATCCTTCTCAGCACCTTTAAAGTTAAATTTAACGATCGATCACCATTATATCCTAAGAATGATCGATATCGTCGCGCGCGAGATCTATTCTCAAAAGTGTCAAGGAAGTGTCGTCGAACAGTCGAGGCGTCGCGAATAGAAAAGAAGAATATGAAAGAGAGCGGAACGTCGCACTCCGTGCTGCTGCAAGGGGAATCCATATTTTTTTGTCGCGATTTAAATCTGAATGGTCGTACCGTCGCGCAATCGTTCCGTCTCTTTCGTGTGTGCGTAAGGGATCCCATACGGCGAACACAAGGGTGGAGAATGGTTTATATCGAGGGGAGTGCGTGAGATCTGTATTAGTACCTATAGGTTCGGGGACATCAGCGGTTCTCAGGTCTCTCGAATAAATCTGGCGGGTCAGTGGTTCTTTGCCAATCTGAGATCGGCAGAACCACGAAAGAGATGGATTATTTTGTAGAGATGTGATTTTTCGCCAAAAATTACGCGCACTTATTTTCACTCCACGTAAAAACACGAACATAACGCAACCGCGGTTCGATAACGTTCAGTTCATTCGACGAGATGTCGGATGACGCGGAATGTCCGTCGGGACTGTGCTGCATCACGCTGAAACACGACCTGGGGTAAGGGATAGTTTTTTTTCTGAATTGTTCCGGTCGTGTTTGTCAACTGGTGCACAGAGTACGAGCGCAGTTAATCTCGGTGACGTCGAATAACTCAATTCTCGCATTCCGGTTGCAGGTGCGACGTGTACGCGCCTCCGATATATGCCTTTGGATCGAAAACGCTGCAGCGAAAATTCGATACGTGGCATCGTGGCACGTAACATACAGGCGCGATGTAAAATCTTGATCAGATCGCCTTGATTAAAAATCGCGATCGAATCTGCGGACTGCGCTGATATTTCGAAAGTGACTGATCGATCGATCGCGTATAGCTTGGCGATCTTGCAGCTTTGCGCCACGCTTAATGGGATTAATCCCCGGCGAGAAAATGAGAACCGCGTTGACACCCCGTAACGGTGGGGCTGTTCGTTGACGAGTAGACAACGGAACCAAGCAACCATGAAGGGTCACCACATCAACCGAGGCGAGCCGATCCAAGCCAATCCGACGCGCGAGCCAGCCGGCGCTAACTAATGTTTGCTCAAAGAATCGTCATGTATAATTGAGTCAGCCGCGGCATGGGATGGAAAAAATCAACGGGCGAACGCGGACGTGCGGATCCCCGAGCTGAATAATCGACTTTCGGTGTATACAGACTTCCACTTGCGATTTCGAAACAAGCCGCTCTTATTAGGCGAACCGTTTGGTATTTTACGCGTTGCAACGTGCGAGCTATCGCGTTTAACCTAGCGATCTCACAATTAGTATAAAGTATAAACCGAGGGAAAATGAATATTTTTCGAGATAACTACGTTAATTGCAGCAACAAAATTTACATATATTCGCAAAAGTTTAGTTATATAATGGTTCACATCTCGTGTACTTTATCGAATATATGTAAAAGATTCGCAACAACGAAATAAAAATTTTATTTCAAGCACAAAATCAAATTTATTTCAATCAGTCTATGTAATAAGTGAAAGTCGAAAGGCGAAATAAATAAAATTATTTTAACTATTCCAATTAGTCAAACGGAGATCGATAGAGGATCAACGAGGACTTTGGAACAATTCAAGTATAATGCGACGCGGAAGGAGCGGTTGATTCGCTTCGTCGACACGCCAGAGGACGTCGATCCTCTTCGCTAGTCTAGAATCGTGAGGACCCTGGTTTGAGGGTCCTAGAGTTAGGCAATCAGCGTTGATGAGGGGGTCAGGTCGAGGGGCGAAGGGCTCGGACAATTAGTAAGTACCCCGCCCACTCTCTCCTGTGTGTGTCGCTCTCGCCCCGGTTCACCTGCCCAACAACGCACCGACCGCAGGCGCTACGCATGCGAAAGAGGCTGCTGGACGCAGGGTTGGGACGCTTCGTTTACGTACGTAGATCGCGTTGTACGCACTGGATTACGCGCTCGTAAAGGTCTCTTCACGCTTGCGGAGGCAGTGTCAACGCGATCGGTCGAGCCAAATCGGCGAACCGAGACCGGTCCACGTTTACCGGTTAACGTTGACAAAAAACTTACTAAGTCGTTGCCACGAAAACGTGAAATATATTTATATTACAGAAAATGATATATATTTATAGAAATAGCAGAAATTGCAATAATGGAAAAGAGTAAATCTATTAACAATTTTAATGTTAATATAGATAGTTTTAGTTTCTCAATTTGCTTGTAGCTTTTTCATAAATAATAATCGAATTTTCAGATCAAGCAATACTGATTGTGAGAGATCTTTCCGAAAGATGCTGAGAGCAGTGGAACATAGCAGTATAATAAAATAAAAATAAACCGAAATAAACAAAAGACTTTCTCTGCAAAGTTATTCAAAGGATTTTTATTGATTTTGCGATTCATTGTTGCGACTAATTGTTCTTGTGAAACGTGTCGAGGATTACACGGCGTTTCGTAAAAGTCCGGAGGGCGGGATGTACGGCGGGGAATCGAGGAAATAATAAGCTTCTTTCGAGAGGAATTCGCAACGACAGTGAAGACGATTCTCTTCCTTCCTCTCTGGACGAAACACAGAATCGCTATCGTCTTCGACAGACGCGCCCCGTCTTCGAACTTAACGTCTTTTGCTCGTGGCCGCTCGAGGACGAAGGTAAAAGCGAAAGCGCGGCATCGCGCGATCTTAGGAAAAACGTTTAACGAGCTGTTTTGCATCGCAATGCCCCGACCTCGTTATCGGTTATCGACCCGCTCGCGGCTGCTGTCGCGGATTAAAGAGTACCTGCCCCACAGGCACGTGTACGTCACGTAGTGCGTTCACACACACACACACACACACACACACACACACGGCTGTTTCGTCGAGGCGCTGGCGCTGTTTGATCGTCGATTGGCACAGCGAGAGCCGCTGAAAAGGCGAATTGTTTCGCGGAAACCACCGATTTTCAGGCCGTGTTCGCCGCTAAATCGGCGCGGCGCGGCGCGCCACGCCGTCGTTTCGCGGAACGCGATCGATCTTTCTACATTTGTTTCCGAGAGGAAACTTGTTTTTCGCTCGTAGAACGGGCCCGCCGCCCTTTTGTTCCTTTGCGTGTTGAAATTTTTCACTCATTCCGACCATCCATGTAATCAAAAATTCCTTTTCTTCGATGTTTTTTCATTAGCGATATCGCGAAACTGCGGATACCGAAGAGACCTTAGATTAGATCGATCTTAGGAAAAGCAATAAATCGAAAAATTCTGCCACACTATACATTTACCACTTTTAAAGTCACATCCAAGTATTTGCCAGAACACATTGTGTTAACAATAATTTGACTATCTGTAAAAATAGCTTTAAGTAATCTTAAAGTAAAAGAGTATTTAACCAACTAAAATGCAATTGAAAAGAAAAGATCGAACCTTTCTTCTTGTACGAAAATAATTTATTCTCAACTGTCATGATGGAATGTGTCCTTGGGACCTATGTCAGAAAATGACATATGTTAAAGATCAATTGCAACCACTACCTGTCTTTCGATGAATTGATGTCCATAAAAGAAAAACCAAAAAAGCAATAAAGGTAAAGGTAACAGCGAAAAGAAAAATTAGAAAGTGATTGCAGGTCTAAATTAAGAAAAATGAATTTGTGGCTTTTATCTAGATTCTAGAATAAAAGCATACATATATATGAATATATATATATATATATATATATTCAAGTCCATATCTTGATTTACAACTCGTTGCAACTTTCACTCGATGACTTTCACATGCGTTCAGAATTAAGTTACTCGGCTCGAATACGAATTTCACGATTTTACCACGTTACGCTGACCTGTTTCAAAATCCACGAAATCGGTTTCCCGATCAAATTCGTAGGTAAGTTCGAAGCGTTCGGACCGGACCGGACCCTCGGTTTCTTTTTGCGAGGGTCCACCCAGCTTCCATCCAACGGCAGAACGGAACTCATCAGTCCGGGAGGAAGTGGACACGTCGGAACAATTTCCTTACACCGTCTCTCCTTCCACCGTCCTGGTACAACCCAACACCACCCTCTCGGACCAGCAGCCTCATTTCTACCCCGTCATCGCAGCCGCTACTGAAATTCTGACCCCTCAACGATTGACCAATTTGCCAAATCGATTCACATCGAAATGAACCTACGTAATATCTCCAGTTAGCTTCTCTCTCTCTCCCTCTCTCTCTCTCTCTCTCTCGTACTCTTTTAAATAATGTATAGAAGCTTGTAGGCCTCTTCTTGCAACACGCGAAATGTGCATATTCTCAAGAGTCGAATGCATCGTGTTATGATAGCATTGCTAAGATTTACAAAAATAGCTATACCTTTTTTTTTAAATGGGAATTATACCCAGCAAAAAGAATTATAAAAATATAAAAATATTGAAAAATTAAAACGAAAATTTTCCTCTACGTTCTCGTGAAAGGAAAATTGACTTTTAAGTTCATCTGAAAATTATTGTCGTCAAAATATTTTTTAATGTAGACATATTAAGAATTTGAGATATCAAATTTTGTTATAAAAGTGCAACATATACATATTTTGCAGAAAGTTTGTTTAAATTGATAAAATATTCGACAAAAATATATTTACAGCTATATTTTATATCTTATATTGGCTATCGACGGAAAGAGAATAGAGGATGCAGAAGGTTGAACTAGATTGGGGTCTAGACGTACGTGGCAAAAGCATCCCGGCATTTTTAATGCCCGAGCAAGTAGGTACTTAGTACCTATCCTCTCGCAGGCAGAAAGCTCCGTGTACCCACCCTCCAGATATTACCCTTTGGAATAGCTGCAAAAATTATGGACAGCCGATAGGCCAGCAGCCGCTGCAGGGGTGCGTCTCATCCATTTAGGTCCATCACACATGACTGGATAGGGTGAGACTTACCCCGCAGAGGTTCTCACAT